CAGAGATTCACTTTTTTTTTTTTTTTTTTTTTTTTGAGATAGATTCTTGGAGTCTCACTCTGTCACCCAGGCTGGAGTGCAGTGGCACAATCTCAGCTCACTGCAACCTCCGTCTCTCAGGTTCAAGTGATTCTCCTGCCTTAGCCTCCTGAGTAGCTGGGACTAGAGGCACCTGCCACCATGTCCAGCTACTTTTTGTGTTTTTAGTAGAGACAGGGTTTCACCATATTGGCCAGGCTGGTCTTGAACTCCTGACCTTGTGATCTGCCCACCTCAGCCTCCCAAAATGCTGGGATTACAGGTGTGAGCCACCATGACTGGCCCCAAGACTCACTTCTAAGGGACACAGAGCAGCACGGCATGAAGAATGGGATGTCACTTCTGAGATTAGGTTACAAAGATACTGTGGCTTCTTCATAACTTCTCTCTCTTTCTCTATGGACCTAATAGAAGGCAGTTGCTTCTCCATGGAGAGATCCATGTGGCAAGAAACTGATGTTGGCATCAGCCACCAGCCAGTGAGGACTTGCGGCGTCTGCCAACAGCTGCAGGAGTGAGCTTGAAAGCACATCCTCCCCCAGCCAAGCCTTGAGACAGCTGCAGCCCCAGCCAATGCCTTAACTGCCCAGCGGTCCCAGGCCAAGTAGGGCCAGATCCCTGATCCACAGAGCACAGAGACGATGAGGGAATAGACGCGCGTTGTGTGAAGTTGCTAAGGTTTGGGGTGACTTGGTTTTTGTTTTGTTTTTTGAACTCCTGGGCTCAAGAGATTTTCCTGCTCAGCCTCCCAAAGTGCTAGTGTTACAGGTGTGAGCCACCATGCACGGCTTTTGTTTTTCTGAGACAGGTTTTCACTCTGTCACCCGGGCTAGAGTGCAGTGGCTTGGTCATGGCTCACTGCAGCCTCAGCCTCTTGGGCTTGGGTGATCCTCCCCGCTCAGCGTCCAGGGTAGCTGGGGCAATAGGCATGCACCACCACACCCAGCTAATTTTTTGTATTTTTAGGAGACATAGGGTTTTGCCAAGTTGCTCAGGGTAGTCTTGAACTCCTGGGCTCAAGTGATGCTCCCGCTTCGGCCTCCCAAAGTGTTGGAATGACAGGCCTGAGCCACAGTGCTGAGTCTGGGGTGACTTGTTACTCAGCAGTAGTTTACTAAAACATTCTCACTCTTTTCCCCTTCACTCTTGCTTCCTTTGAATAGGAACCCCCACAAAACTTCAGCAAGTGAACTTTTGCCTTGGGCTTTGTTTTCTGGGGAAACTGTCCCCAAGATTCAGCCCCTAGTGATCTCCATATTATACCAAAGAAACAAAATATCATTTTCAAAGTCAGCAGTGATCATCCCTAAGTATTCACCAATTTCTCCCAACTGGGGCTTCTGCTTTGGACCATCTGGGTCTCAGAGGACCATGCCATGAATGCATTGGGGTTGTCGTGTCAGCTCTGCACACCGGTGACACTGCACACTGTGGGGCTCCCTGCCGCAGCCCACAGCATCCCCCTGGAGAATCATGAAGCCAAACTCTGGGCCAGAAGCTGGTAACACCCAGATTCTGAATTCTCCCATTCATTTGCAGTGCTCCACCCATCATATGACTAAGATGACATCTTTCCAGTGATAAGGAAATAAAGGGCTTTTGAGTTTTCAGTCAGTGGGAGAGGTGGGGATGGGGGTGGGCCTGGCTTTCTGTGCCTGTTACTTTTCTTCTCTCTCACTCCCACAAGCTGCTTCTAACCACCTTATTAAATACTAGATCCCCCCCACACTCATCCCCCGAGGCTGAGCGGGAGCATGGAAATGAAGAGAAATTTTACATCAAGCCGCTTTCTGGTTTGCGCTTTAATAAGATCTGGGGTAACAAGTGCCATTGAGGATGTTTGTGTTTTCGCGGGGCTCTGATAGTGCAGGAGATGATGGCTCTATTCAAAGCCCTCAGGGCAGCACAACTGAATATCCATTTCCTCCCTGCACCCTGCAAAAAAGCCTGGCTAATAGAGACTCAACAGACGACACTCACGTCCCACTGCAGGTTCACTCTGCAAAAGGACAAGTGATTTTAATAAAAGGAGGTGGGCAAATTCTGGAATTCTCTTTCTAGAACCCTGGATGGGACTTCCGCTTCTCCTTGGGCTACCTGCAGACTTCAGCAGTGGCTCAGGACAGAGGAGCAGCATCGCCACGGAAGTCCCTGCTCATATCAAAGGCCTATCTCAAAGGGCATCTCCAGGAGACAGGCAGCATGACGCACGCAGCACCAGCATGCGTTTCCCCCACTGAGGGTGCCCGCTGGATCCTCTTTGCTAATAATAACCCTGCCAACCGAGCAATTAAGCTGTGAGCACATTCCAGGGACTCGTCAGGATATGAGAGGTTTTTGCCCCGCAAGCTCCTACTTAGAATTGCACCCATTTCAGGCTGGGTGCAGTGGCTCCCTCCTATAATCCCAGCACTTTGAAAGGCAAAGGCAGGAGGATTACTTGAGCCCAAGAGTTCGAAACCAGCCTGGGCAACATAGCAAGACCCTATCTTTATTAAAAAAAAAAAAAAAAAAAAGAGTTGCACCCATATCAGATTTCAATTTGAGCTTGGCTGACCCAAATCAATCGCCAAATCTGTGTCTGTTACTTTTCTTCTCTCTCACTCCTACAGGCTGCTTCTAACCATGCCGTGAAATATTAGATCCCCCTGAACACACATCCCCCAAGGCTAGCCAAAGAGGGTCCCTTTTGTCTTGTCTTAGAATAATATTACCCTGGATGCCTCTTGTGACCTCTGGCCACTTGCTGCCCTGATTTCCAACTTTATGGCTGCACGACACCCTGACCACCTAGTCAATCATGAGGTCAGCACAGCTCGGGACAGATCTGGCCAGGACAGAGCTGGTCACTCAACACACATTTTCTGAGCTTCCAAAGAGTGGATTAAAACACATTCGCTGTAGAGATAGATCAGAAGAGCAGCCGAACACACACAGACTTGGTAAGCACACAAAAAGCTATAATCCCAGGGACACAGGGAAGGTGAAGGACCTCCCTTGGAGCACCTGAAAGATAGGGAATGAGGGTTTAATTGGGGAATGCAGCTAAGAGGTGAGGAGGCTGTACTCTATGTGAAACAGACTAAGATACGGACATCAATGTCAGACCTGGAGTTAGTCCTGGTTCTGCCACTTAGGCACTTAGTGGCCTTGGGCAAGTGGCATAGCCTCTCAGGCTCAGTTCTGTGTCTTTGTAAGTAAGGACAATGATATCTACTGCCTGGGGATGGTGATCAAAATAAAATCATTTCCAAAAGCTCTCAGCTGTGTGCCGGGCATGCTATAAGCAATCAATAACGACAACTATCATGGCCATCTTGCAGGGACTCAGCACTGCACACTTGATGCGTGTTCACACGTTCTCAGCTCACCTGGGCTCCCCAACAACCCTGCAAGGTAGGCAGGGAAGGTTTCTACTTTATTTATTTATATTTTTTGAGACCAAGTCTCACTCTGTTGCCCAGGCTGGAGTGCAGTGGCGCCATCTTGGTTCGCTACAACCTCTGCTTCCCACAGTCAAGCCATTCTTGTACCTCAGCCTCCTTAGTAGTTGGGATTACAGGCACGTGCCACAAAATCCAATGGATTTTTATATTTTTAGTAGAGACAGAGTTTTGTCATGTTGGCCAGGCTGGTCTCGAACTCCTGGCCTCGGGTGATCTACCCACCTTGGCCTCCCAAAGTGCTTGGATTATAGGCATGAGCCACTGCGCCCAGCCGGTTTTTACATTCTTTCTCATGTTACACACAAGGAAAATAAGGCCATGAAGATGTATGCAACTGGTTTGTTTTGGGCTACAGTGCAGGTCTCTTGACCCTTCAAATTTAGTGTTTTCCCCCAGTATACGTTGTATTGAATGATAAGGGCTAACACTGAGTTCAGTGCTTAGCAAACAGGGCATTCATTAGACATAGATGGACTTGGCCCAGCACGGTGGTTCACTCCTGTAATCCCAGCACTTTGGGAGGCTGAGGCTGGTGGATCATGAGGTCAAGAGATTGAGACTGCCCTGGCCATCATGGTGAAACCCCATCTCTACTAAAAATACAAAAATTAGCTGGGCATGGTGGTACATGCCTGTAGTCCCAGCTACTCAGAAGGCTGAGGCAGGAGAATCGCTTGAACCCGAGAGGCAGAGGTTGCAATGAGCCGAGATCATGCCACTGCACTCCAGCCTGGTGACAGTGAGACTCTGTCTCAAAAAAAAAAAAAAAAAAACAACCTAAAAACAAAAAACAAACACCATAGACAGACTCGCTGCCTGTTATTTCTCTTTTAGGGGTCAGGGAGATTGTGACCTTGGTGGCTCAGTCACTTGCCTAGCCTCAGGGAATGAGGTGGAGGGCATTGAGGGAAACTGACTATATCTCCTTCATTCCCACCTCTCTCCCTTCATTGACCAAGTGGCAATGGGCACAAGTCCAGGAAGGGCAGGGGGCCGTTACAAGTCTGAGTATCTATAAACTGCAAGAGATGAAATGAAATTGGCTGCGTTCTCAAAGCCTATCCCCTCAGCATGTTGGAGGAGGGTCACAGGGGACGTGGAGGAGGAGGAGCTTTAGAGAGAGGATGCTTGTGCCCCCCGGCTTTTCTTGATATTTCTGTTTGGGGGTTGAATTCTTGGGAGCTTCATCACATTTGGTTCTTGGCTGACTTCATATTCTAACAAATAACTCCCTTTCACCTGACCATGTAGAGGAACGGACAGCCAGGGATGAGGGCAGCCTTGTTTTAGGCCACGTGGCAGATGAGGCAGGTGTGAGGCCAGCTTGAGCATCTGGACCCATTTGTCTTGGGCTGCTGGCTGCTTGCCATTTTCTCCTCTCCACCCTTATTTGGAGGCCCTGACAGCTGAGCCACAGACAAGCCTGGGGGAGCTGGGCACCAGCCAAATGTCACCCTCTGTTTCCCTGCATGGGTACCAGTGTCGAAGAGAAAGAATCCTGAGGCGTGGCGGTGAGATAACCAAGGACTCTTTTTTGCTCTTCCCACACCTTTGAAGTGGGAGCCTCTTGAGTCAAATCAGCAAGAATTCGGCTCTTGCAGCGGAGGGTCTGGGGGGCTGTTGGGGCTGCCCAAGGCAGAGGGGCTGTGACAAGCCCTGTGGGATGATAACTTTAAAAGGGCATCTCCTGCTGGCTTCTCACTCAGCTGCTTTATCGCTGCAAGTGACAGAATGGGGAGGGTTCTGTCTCTCCTGCGTGCTTGAAGAGTGGGGAGGACTATAAAAAGAGGAGGCGCTGGGCAGTTCGGAGACAGGGACGGACGTAGGCCAAGAGAGGGGAAACAGAGGGGAACCAGAGGGGAGAGACAGCAGCAAGCAGTGGATCGCTCCTTGACTACACCAGCATGGGCTCCTTCTCCACTGTCACCGTGAGCTTCCTCCTCTTCCTGGCATTCCAGCTTCCAGGTCAGACCAGAGCTAACCCCGTGTACAATGCCGTGTCCAATGCAGACCTGATGGATTTCAAGGTAGGGCCAGGAAAGTGGGTGCAGTCTGGGGCTAGGGGGCTTTTGGTGCTGTTCTCGTTCATCTTGTCTCCAAGTCAATGAGGCTTGTCCCTTTCCTTGTATTTTCCTTGTGTAAAGAATTTGCTGGACCATTTGGAAGAAAAGATGCCTTTAGAAGATGAGGTCGTGCCCCCACAAGTGCTCAGTGAGCAGAACGAAGAAGCAGGGGCTGCCCTCAGCCCCCTCCCTGAGGTACCTCCCTGGACTGGGGATGTCAGCCCAGCCCAGAGAGATGGGGGTGCCCTCGGGCGGGTCCCCTGGGACTCCTCCGATCGATCTGCTCTCCTAAAAAGCAAGCTGAGGGCTTTGCTTGCTGCCCCGCGGAGCCTGCGGAGATCCAGCTGCTTTGGGGGCAGGATGGACAGAATTGGAGCCCAGAGCGGACTGGGTTGTAACAGCTTCCGGGTAAGAGGAACTGGGGATGGAAATGGGATGGGACGAACACTATTGGGAGACACCTTTAGCAGGAATTATTCCCTCTGAACTTTCTGCCCCAACACCGTGAGTGCCCCATAGGTATCAGGACACACCATCTATCATCCTCAGCTACAGTCTGCTGAGAAAATGCTAAAAAAAAAAATAAAGTGACTGCCACTAGCGCTGGGAAATTAAAATATTCATAGGTCCAAGTTATCTTTGCGTGGCTGATTAGCAGTTCATGTTCCTCTCCAGAACTGCAAGATCCCGAAGGGCTTAAGTGACATTTACTCTGCTGAGTAACTTGCTTATCAATTCATGAAGCTCAGAGAGTCATCAGGCTGAAATGGGGGCTGGTGGGAAGGTGGTCAGTAATCAAGCTCAGAGGGTGGGCACACTCATACATGAAGCTGACTTTTCCAGTACAGCCAGGTCACCAGGCCAGATATGTCTGTGTTCTCTTTGTAGTACCGAAGATAACAGCCAGGGAGGACAAGACGGCAAGAGACTCTTGTCCCCTGGGGTCTCTCCTGCAACTTCGTGTCATCTCATTGCCCTGGAGTTGTGATCATCCCATCCAAGCTGCAGCTTCCTGTCAACACTTCTCATATTTTATGCTAACTGTAGATGAAGTGGTTTGATTGTGGCTTCCTCGCCTCTCCCACACCATGCATTAAATTTTAAGGTATAACCTCACCTATTACTGAAAGTGGTTTGGAAGTGAATAAATTTCAGCACCATGGACAGAAGACAGATGCCCGCATTGGTGTGGTTTCTTCCGTCTCCAGGGAGAGTTCAGCTTGATTTTCCTTGTCATTTTACTCTTTGTTAGAGAAAAACAAATGATCAATTTTTCTTCTTCATTTCTCCCTCTTTTTTTGTGGGTCGTTGGGGAGGCCTCAAATTCCACCCCCAGTGGTTTTTGGTGACAGGGGTTTTTGCTGTTTTTAGAGGAGGACATTCAGAAAATGAGAGTATTTAGATTCTCTCTGATACGTTTCAAGCGAGATGCTACAGTGAAGGTAATGGTACTTTTTAGTTTTGAAAAGAGTAGGCAGAGTGTTGAGTTTAAAAGCTGAGCAGGCCGGGCATGGTGGCTCACTCCTGTAATCCCAGCATTTTGGGAGGCCAAGATGGGCAAATCACTTGAGCCCAGGAGTTTAAGACCAGCCTGAGCAATAGAGTGAGACCCCTTCTCTACAAAAAAAAAAAAAAAAAAAAAAATTAAAAAATTAGCCAGGCGTGGTGATGTGCACCTGTAGTTCCAGCTATTTGGGAGGCCGAGGTGGGAGGATGGCTTGAGCCTAGGAGGTGGAGGCTGCAGTGAGCTGGTATCATGCCACTGCACTCTAGCCTGGGTGACAGAATGAGACTTGTTTCAAAAATATAATAAAAACTGAGCCCAGTGAAGACAGGTTTGCCATGCAGACAAACTCTGAGTTTATGTGCCTTCGGTGTGCTAACAAGTATTTAGAAAATAGCCATAGTCTTTGACTAATTCGGGTCCAAAGGGCCTGGGCTTGTATTTTACTAAGATAAGAGCCACTGGAGAAGATGCAGGCTTTTTCTATCTGCTCCTGAAAAGGGTATTGTTCTGAGCACAAAAAACCAGGGTTGAAGTTCACCTTAAACAGAGTGACCTGTCTTCCCACCTGTTACCCCATGGACCCCACCCTCCTTATCAGATTCTACGGCACTCCAACACCCCACACCCACACGTGCCCTTGTGCCCTTATTTCTCCTGTTCCTTTCACCTGGGTTTCCTTCCTCTGGTCCTCCCGAGGACATTGTACTCATTCCTTAAGGCTCATGTGAGCACCACTTCTTCCCTGATACCTCATGCCCAGTAACAATGAGTCTCTTCACAGGCAGCATTTCACATGCAACAGTAATAATAGCACACAACATGAGCTGCCAGTGTGCAATCGCTTGTGTCTACGTCCCTAGGCTGCAAGCTCTTTGAGGGCAAATGCCCCTTTGTCACTCTGAGTTGATGTCCCCTAAATGTTGGTCAAATTGCCTTGGTCTTGTCCAGAAATTGGGAAAAGAGGAAACGAAGTGGCAACTTGCTCCTTGCAGAGGAAAGTGGGAGGTTCCCAGTGAACTGCTGGGAGGGGGTGGAGGTGGGGGGAAAGCTTCTAACCACTTCCAGTCAAAATGTTCCCTATCTGGGCTTTACACACTGAAGGGCAGAAACCGGGAGGCAGACAGAGAATGACAAGGATGAAGCTAAGAGTGACAGGAGACAGCGCTGGCCCAAACCTGGCTCCAGAGGTCTGGTACGGTATTATCGGTGTTATGAGTTGCCAGCAGGGGAAGTAGCAGCTGGGCCCATTCCCAAGGCGTCTCCATAACACAGGGAGTTCTCATCGAATAGAAATGACAAATACACAGGCCCCCAGGAGTTCCAGAACACTTGGGGCTAGATGCAGGGCCTGAATTGACTGCAACTGTTTCTGTCCCTGATGGAATGATGATTCGAAGCAGATCAGACGGAGACAGAGGCCCTGCTTCTTGCAAAACCAAAAGCAAGCAACCAAAATGCAATGGCAGATGGCAGTGACAGAAGCTGGCCACAGGTCTTTACCTCTCCAGACCCATCACCAGTTTCACTTCTTCTGGTTGGACATCAGGGCATCTGCTTGTGGGGAAAATTCCTAATAGAATAGAATGGATTCCCCATCTGCTGCTCCAGGACGCTGTTGCTAGCAGGAGGAGATGGTTTCTAGAGGACAGGATGGGAAAGGGTGCTCATCAGGGAGAAACAGATATTGCTGACTTCTACTAAGACCCACAGGATGAAATCCGTTCTTATTAAGGTCGCTGCTTGGTACAGAGAAATGGACTTCCGTGGATGAAGAGCCCTGCTGGGCAGCCGCATAGGGAGAGCTCTGAGACTATAAAACCACATCCTAGTGTAATTTTCACACATCAGAAACAGGGGGAATGAAATAAAAACCAAGTACCCCTTGAAAGAAAGAGCAGCATAGAGACAAAAGGCTAAAGGAGACAGAAGACATTTTATTCTGACATGTTACGGTTACAATGAGAACTCCCAAGTTCCAAAGGTTCAAATAAAAATAGCATTTTACAAATTAAAAAAAATACAATTTATATACATAGTGGAATTAGCTCACATCATACAAACCAACAGTGCAAACAGAAAAAGGAAGCTGCGACAGTGGCAATAGCCAAGGTCCGCAGAGCCGTGGGGCAATACTGCACGTCAATACTGCGGGGCTGGAGAGGCCTTCCTGTCACCCAGGGTCATGTCAGTGCATAATTCTGCATCACAAATGTCATACAGAGGGCTGGGTCCAGAAAGTATCCCTTCCAGCTGGGAACTGTTAATCAGGGTCATGAGCAAATCATCCCACGGCACAAGGTCCCACAGCCAGGGCCGGGGACCCCTCAGTCCCGCTCCCCAATCATCTCGCCTAGGAGCCACGAGACGCCGAGCTGCAGACGAACACACAAACCACCACCTCTAGCCACCCGCAGGATCCCCATCCAAGGATCTGTTTGACTGAGGCGCCTTAGCACTCGGTAGTGGGGCTGCTAATGGGTGAGATGCTGAAAGGCTGGTTTCTAATGGACAGAAATGGAAGGAGCGAGGCTTACAGTTTACTGTCACGAGTGGAGAAGTTGTTGTCTTTGGACTTATCTGGAAAGGGCAGATGCAGAGAGGAGAACAGGAAACCATGTGCCTTTGCATGGGGCCTGGGTTTGGGGCCTCCTTGGCGGCCGTCCAGTCAGTTTAGGGGAGGGAGGCATTTGCATTCTACTGTCTATCTCTGGACTAAACTCATGGGAACAAAATATCTGGTGACTTAAACACAACAGGATGGGCACGAGGGATGAATTCCAACAACATTCACCGGGTCAGCCTCGAGGCAAGCGGCTGCTGATCCGGCCCTCCAGAGGTCAGGGTCCTCCTGCAGGGCGTTAGCTCTGCCAACTCTAGGAAGGGGCGGGGAGAGGGGATGAAGTGTCTGTGACAGTTGATCACACCATTCTCTTGACTTGGACAATTGGCTTCCTTTTTAGTAAAATGAAGAAATAACGTGATCAAGCTCTGAACACTGCCATAAAACAGTGGCAGCTGGCCGAACACATTTAAATAAGAATTGCCTTTTTGGTCCTTGTGATGTCCTATACTATTTCCTGGGAGTATCATACCCCATTTCACATGTCAGGTGCATTCTGGAAGGCAGAAACATTTAGAAGTCAAAGTAATTTTGGTCAAAGAGATAAGAAAATGGGGAAAACGGAAAGGGCCACAGTCAGTTGGAAAAGAACTCGAAGCAGCCCCCTCTCTGGAGTGGAATTATTCCCCAGAGTGTGCTGAGTGCAAGACCTGGACTGGTAGAGAAAGGACTGATGCCCACCCCAGGGTGAAAGGTAGCCTTGGCCAAGGAGGTTGCCCAGGGCTGGGCCCGAGAGAGCTGTGCTGCCAGGGCCAGGCGCCGGGGCCCGTGGGCAACCTCAACGTTTAAAAAAAAAAACTAAACGTAAATGAAGGCCATCTTGAGCCAAAGCACGTCTGCCCCAGGGATGCCGGCTGGGACTGAGATGGCATGTAGAAGGTAGGGGAAGATAGGCACAAATGCCCAATGCCCAGATGCTCACTTTGGGTGCCTAGTCAGAGGGGGCTGGCCAGCCTGGAGAAGAATGACAACACTGAACAACAGGGCTGGTTCCCATGCTTCATGTGAAACTCCCGGGCACGTGCTGGCAGGAAGAACCTCCCCACGCACCCTCCCTGCGGCGTGGGAGACTCTCCTGAAGGGCTTGTTTATGTAAGCTTGGGATGGCTAGTGCAGGGAGGAGAGAGGTGTTTGTGAGGTTCGGACACCCTCTTCCTCGAATAGGCCATCCGCTTTATCATAGCACGTACCTTTTAGCGGTCACTGGCTCAGAAGTGCTTCCTTTCTATCAATGGTACCATTCCCCAGAGTTCAGTAAAGCTGTTTCATCTAGGAGTGCCCTGCTTTTAGCTAACTTTGGTGGGTGATGCCAAGATTCTCCGGGCTCTGGCTGCTCCATCATGAAGATGGAGATCAAAACTTAAGGAAATGAAAAGGATCAGGATAGAAACATGTTACTCGGAGACCAGGAAAAATCTGCAAATGGAGATAAAGGGGTAATGTTAAGAACTAGGGTAGATGTAAATCTGATCGTAACATCAGATATATCACCCAGAGGTTATGAGTGTGATTTTAATGCTTTGTGTTTCTGGTGGGTGGTGGTTCTAAGGAGAGTCAAACCACAGGGGCAAGACAGGAGCCTCTGCTCACACCCAGGAAGCAGAACCTTTCCCTTAAAACAAACCAGCAAAGATATGGAGTTAGGAATCCTGAATAAGGGATGGCCTCTCTGGAATGCGGAGAATTTTCTCAGCGCTCGATTCCTAAATCTGGCATCAACTGAATGCTGTAACTGGTGTCTCCCCGGCTTTTGCCTTGGCCAAGTCCCTCTCACACATTTAAGGCAACAGCCGGGATCTCGAGGAAGGTAGCAAAGACGGCCAGGAACACCGCTCGGAGTGCAGCCCACGGTCCGCCTGATTCCACCTCTGGTTCCAGCTTGGTGGGGCCAGGGGTGGGTCTGTGCCAACACTAGAAGGTAGGAACATGGGGAGCAGGAAGCAGGAAGATCCTTGCTGGGGAAGTCAGAAAAGTCCAAGCTCTGATGGTTCAAAACCACCCCCAGGACCTCTGACCAGCAAGGTGTCCAATGACTCCAGGTTTTCT